GAATATGATTATCTTTGAATATCAATACAGTGGTATCTTAAATAATTCTGTGGATTCAAAGCTCCATTTTCATGAAAGTGGTAGTATTTCATATAATCCCTTTTAATCGAGGAGAGCAGTGTTGGACAGTGTTCCATGGCTAATTGAAAATGTTCCTGCTTATTCATGTTCAACAGAAACATTCCTATATACAAATTTTATTTGTTTACACATAGTTAAAGGCTAACAAACCTTCAAGTCATGGTGATTTTAGCTTAGCAAAATTGCATTAGGTAAGTGTAGCCTTCAGTTTTTGTGGTTGCCTGTATTTATTTAAAATATTTGATATTCTGATGTCCATTTGTATGAATATAGAAAATAATTTCAGGAGTCCTTGATAATTCTCTGCCTCATGGTTTAGAAGTTTCACTTGGTTTTTATCTCATCTTGACATTGACCTTTTTAAGCATTCTGTCTCTGGTATTCCTTGTCTATTTTTAATGAATTTTAGGCATCAACATTTTTAGTTGAGGGAGGCAGTATTTCTGTATATTCATATAAATGCTTAGCATTCAGTGTAAATGAAGATAGGAATCAGGAGGAATGACAATCCCTTCTCCCCTTACAAGGTTTTTTCTTAAAGTGGACTGGCTGGATAGATGTGGATCCTCTGATAACCTTTCCACTTCATTAAGCTTTTTCTAGTACAGTATGTTGGTACAGATGCTTTGTGCTACAACCTTAGAAACTCCCAACTCAAGTTGATTAAAATAACAGCAACAAAAAAAATAGTAGCTCTTGTAGTGTGAAGTCTATCTTTCAGGATTGGTTGATTCATCTGTTCAGAGTTTTCATCTTCATTCTATGTTGGTTTATTCTAAAGGCTGGTTTCTCTATTTGATTGTATAAGGTGGTTTCCAAGTGCAATCAAAGTGAAATGCTGCCTTTCTCCTGTCCTAATATACAGAAAGACATTATAGAGTAGTGGCTTAGGTGCTTAATGTAGTGATGTAATACAGTAAGTCCTCATTAAATGTCTGATCACTATTATCATTTCATGGAGGAAAATGAGTTCCCTGTTGATCTTTTCAAGAATGAGTAAGTGCTTTCATAGAATCCACCAGCAGCCTTCCATCTCATTGGACAGAAATAGGCCACATGGCCATTCCTGACTCGTTCCCTATCAAAGGAGATGAGGATACTCTTAGGCCAATTATGCTCATTCTTAGAACAGCATTAAATTTTCCAAATACCTTGTTCCCATCTAATAAAGGAGAGGGATAAAATGGATATTTAGGTGTATGTTTGGTGGGAGGAAGGCAGTTTCAACAGTATGTCCACTACAGATCAGCTCTTCTCTACCACATTTCCTTTTCTAATGTCCAGAAGGAAATAGCATATATAATACTGTTTAGATGGTAAAATATTTAGTAAAATAGTTTATTTCCTTAGTAGATTCCTTTTCACCCACACATGAAATGCATTCCAGGGCCTTTTGTTTTGTTTCTGTCCTCGGTAATAACTTTTTTCACAATATGTGTTCTGTGAAACAAATTCATCTTGTTTTGGTACTGTATAAAGAGCTGTCAGAACAAGCAAATTTGATGTTACCATGTAGCTAATGGTATGACTTTGGAAAAAATGCCTAATTTCTTCTTACTCTGTGTATGTTAAACTGGAATAACTCTAACCATGTCACAAGATTGTTATAAAGATTAAAATATATACATATGGAAGTATCTGCCAAATACATTCTTGTCAACCCTTTAGTTCTCACTTTATCAGCTGCATTTTATTAAAATTTGGGACCACTAAAGATATTCTGGGAGCTCTAATGGAATAGTGCCTAAGGCATTTGACTGCTAACAAGAAAGCTGGAGGTTCATACCCACCAGCCACTCCTCAGAAGGAAGATTGGCAATCTACTTCCTTAGTGATACCACCTCAGAAACCCAAGAAGGGGTCTCTGTGAGTTGGATCCGACTTGACAG